GCAGGTACTGGTAGATCTCCGCGCCGTCCTGCAGCCGCACGATCGCCTCTTCGTTGTACTTGAAGATGGCAAGAGCGTAGCGGAAAATCACCTGCACAAGTTGAGATGGGCTCAGCGGGCTCAGCGCCCGGCCTCCGCCCACGGCCCAGGAGCTCCGGCACGGATGCACTATGGGACGTGCTGCGCACGAGGGGAGACCCCCACCCCTCCTCTTCCCAACCCAAGACAGCCCCAGAAGAGCCTGTTGCTCCAGAAGCAAGAGGGGAGATGGAGCAGGGACCTTGGGGCAGGGCTGCAGGGGGAGCTCAGAGGGCTGGTGGGAGGCGGAGGGGAGGTTTAGCTGCGAGAGGAGTGGGCCCGGCTGCCCCACCACAGACAAGGTGCCAGGGCGAGGGGTGCGCGGTGCCGTGTGCGAGGGGAGGGGCGCAGGGTGCCAGGGCGAGGGGTGCTCGGTGCCGTGTGCGAGGGGAAGGGCGCAGGGTGCCAGGGCGAGGGGTGCTCGGTGCCGTGTGCGAGGGGAAGGGCGCAGGATGCCAGGCCGAGGGGTGCGTGGTGCCGTGTGCGAGGGGAGGGGCGCAGGGTGAGGGGGCGAGGCGTGCTCGGTGCCGTGTGCGAGGGGAAGGGCGCAGGATTCCAGGCCGAGGGGTGCGTGGTGCCGTGTGCGAGGGGAGGGGCGCAGGGTGCCAGGGCGAGGGGTGCTCGGTGCCGTGTGCGAGGGGAAGGGCGCAGGATTCCAGGCCGAGGGGTGCGTGGTGCCGTGTGCGAGGGGAGGGGCGCAGGGTGCCAGGGCGAGGGGTGCTCGGTGCCGTGTGCGAGGGGAAGGGCGCAGGATTCCAGGCCGAGGGGTGCGTGGTGCCGTGTGCGAGGGGAGGGGCGCAGGGTGCCAGGGCGAGGGGTGCTCGGTGCCGTGTGCGAGGGGAAGGGCGCAGGATTCCAGGCCGAGGGGTGCGTGGTGCCGTGTGCGAGGGGAGGGGCGCAGGGTGCCAGGGCGAGGGGTGCTCGGTGCCGTGTGCGAGGGGAAGGGCGCAGGATTCCAGGCCGAGGGGTGCGTGGTGCCGTGTGCGAGGGGAGGGGCGCAGGGTGCCAGGGCGAGGGGTGCTCGGTGCCGTGTGCGAGGGGAAGGGCGCAGGATTCCAGGCCGAGGGGTGCGTGGTGCCGTGTGCGAGGGGAGGGGCGCAGGGTGCCAGGGCGAGGGGTGCTCGGTGCCGTGTGCGAGGGGAAGGGCGCAGGATTCCAGGCCGAGGGGTGCGTGGTGCCGTGTGCGAGGGGAGGGGCGCAGGGTGCCAGGGCGAGGGGTGCTCGGTGCCGTGTGCGAGGGGAAGGGCGCAGGATTCCAGGCCGAGGGGTGCGTGGTGCCGTGTGCGAGGGGAGGGGCGCAGGGTGCCAGGGCGAGGGGTGCTCGGTGCCGTGTGCGAGGGGAAGGGCGCAGGATTCCAGGCCGAGGGGTGCGTGGTGCCGTGTGCGAGGGGAGGGGCGCAGGGTGCCAGGGCGAGGGGTGCTCGGTGCCGTGTGCGAGGGGAAGGGCGCAGGATTCCAGGCCGAGGGGTGCGTGGTGCCGTGTGCGAGGGGAGGGGCGCAGGGTGCCAGGGCGAGGGGTGCTCGGTGCCGTGTGCGAGGGGAAGGGCGCAGGATTCCAGGCCGAGGGGTGCGTGGTGCCGTGTGCGAGGGGAGGGGCGCAGGGTGCCAGGGCGAGGGGTGCTCGGTGCCGTGTGCGAGGGGAAGGGCGCAGGATTCCAGGCCGAGGGGTGCGTGGTGCCGTGTGCGAGGGGAGGGGCGCAGGGTGCCAGGGCGAGGGGTGCTCGGTGCCGTGTGCGAGGGGAAGGGCGCAGGATTCCAGGCCGAGGGGTGCGTGGTGCCGTGTGCGAGGGGAGGGGCGCAGGGTGCCAGGGCGAGGGGTGCTCGGTGCCGTGTGCGAGGGGAAGGGCGCAGGATTCCAGGCCGAGGGGTGCGTGGTGCCGTGTGCGAGGGGAGGGGCGCAGGGTGCCAGGGCGAGGGGTGCTCGGTGCCGTGTGCGAGGGGAAGGGCGCAGGATTCCAGGCCGAGGGGTGCGTGGTGCCGTGTGCGAGGGGAGGGGCGCAGGGTGCCAGGGCGAGGGGTGCTCGGTGCCGTGTGCGAGGGGAAGGGCGCAGGATTCCAGGCCGAGGGGTGCGTGGTGCCGTGTGCGAGGGGAGGGGCGCAGGGTGCCAGGGCGAGGGGTGCTCGGTGCCGTGTGCGAGGGGAAGGGCGCAGGATTCCAGGCCGAGGGGTGCGTGGTGCCGTGTGCGAGGGGAGGGGCGCAGGGTGCCAGGGCGAGGGGTGCTCGGTGCCGTGTGCGAGGGGAAGGGCGCAGGATTCCAGGCCGAGGGGTGCGTGGTGCCGTGTGCGAGGGGAGGGGCGCAGGGTGCCAGGGCGAGGGGTGCTCGGTGCCGTGTGCGAGGGGAAGGGCGCAGGATTCCAGGCCGAGGGGTGCGTGGTGCCGTGTGCGAGGGGAGGGGCGCAGGGTGCCAGGGCGAGGGGTGCTCGGTGCCGTGTGCGAGGGGAAGGGCGCAGGATTCCAGGCCGAGGGGTGCGTGGTGCCGTGTGCGAGGGGAGGGGCGCAGGGTGCCAGGGCGAGGGGTGCTCGGTGCCGTGTGCGAGGGGAAGGGCGCAGGATTCCAGGCCGAGGGGTGCGTGGTGCCGTGTGCGAGGGGAGGGGCGCAGGGTGCCAGGGCGAGGGGTGCTCGGTGCCGTGTGCGAGGGGAAGGGCGCAGGATTCCAGGCCGAGGGGTGCGTGGTGCCGTGTGCGAGGGGAGGGGCGCAGGGTGCCAGGGCGAGGGGTGCTCGGTGCCGTGTGCGAGGGGAAGGGCGCAGGATTCCAGGCCGAGGGGTGCGTGGTGCCGTGTGCGAGGGGAGGGGCGCAGGGTGCCAGGGCGAGGGGTGCTCGGTGCCGTGTGCGAGGGGAAGGGCGCAGGATTCCAGGCCGAGGGGTGCGTGGTGCCGTGTGCGAGGGGAGGGGCGCAGGGTGCCAGGGCGAGGGGTGCTCGGTGCCGTGTGCGAGGGGAAGGGCGCAGGATTCCAGGCCGAGGGGTGCGTGGTGCCGTGTGCGAGGGGAGGGGCGCAGGGTGCCAGGGCGAGGGGTGCTCGGTGCCGTGTGCGAGGGGAAGGGCGCAGGATTCCAGGCCGAGGGGTGCGTGGTGCCGTGTGCGAGGGGAGGGGCGCAGGGTGCCAGGGCGAGGGGTGCTCGGTGCCGTGTGCGAGGGGAAGGGCGCAGGATTCCAGGCCGAGGGGTGCGTGGTGCCGTGTGCGAGGGGAGGGGCGCAGGGTGCCAGGGCGAGGGGTGCTCGGTGCCGTGTGCGAGGGGAAGGGCGCAGGATTCCAGGCCGAGGGGTGCGTGGTGCCGTGTGCGAGGGGAGGGGCGCAGGGTGCCAGGGCGAGGGGTGCTCGGTGCCGTGTGCGAGGGGAAGGGCGCAGGATTCCAGGCCGAGGGGTGCGTGGTGCCGTGTGCGAGGGGAGGGGCGCAGGGTGCCAGGGCGAGGGGTGCTCGGTGCCGTGTGCGAGGGGAAGGGCGCAGGATTCCAGGCCGAGGGGTGCGTGGTGCCGTGTGCGAGGGGAGGGGCGCAGGGTGCCAGGGCGAGGGGTGCTCGGTGCCGTGTGCGAGGGGAAGGGCGCAGGATTCCAGGCCGAGGGGTGCGTGGTGCCGTGTGCGAGGGGAGGGGCGCAGGGTGCCAGGGCGAGGGGTGCTCGGTGCCGTGTGCGAGGGGAAGGGCGCAGGATTCCAGGCCGAGGGGTGCGTGGTGCCGTGTGCGAGGGGAGGGGCGCAGGGTGCCAGGGCGAGGGGTGCTCGGTGCCGTGTGCGAGGGGAAGGGCGCAGGATTCCAGGCCGAGGGGTGCGTGGTGCCGTGTGCGAGGGGAGGGGCGCAGGGTGCCAGGGCGAGGGGTGCTCGGTGCCGTGTGCGAGGGGAAGGGCGCAGGATTCCAGGCCGAGGGGTGCGTGGTGCCGTGTGCGAGGGGAGGGGCGCAGGGTGCCAGGGCGAGGGGTGCTCGGTGCCGTGTGCGAGGGGAAGGGCGCAGGATTCCAGGCCGAGGGGTGCGTGGTGCCGTGTGCGAGGGGAGGGGCGCAGGGTGCCAGGGCGAGGGGTGCTCGGTGCCGTGTGCGAGGGGAAGGGCGCAGGATTCCAGGCCGAGGGGTGCGTGGTGCCGTGTGCGAGGGGAGGGGCGCAGGGTGCCAGGGCGAGGGGTGCTCGGTGCCGTGTGCGAGGGGAAGGGCGCAGGATTCCAGGCCGAGGGGTGCGTGGTGCCGTGTGCGAGGGGAGGGGCGCAGGGTGCCAGGGCGAGGGGTGCTCGGTGCCGTGTGCGAGGGGAAGGGCGCAGGATTCCAGGCCGAGGGGTGCGTGGTGCCGTGTGCGAGGGGAGGGGCGCAGGGTGCCAGGGCGAGGGGTGCTCGGTGCCGTGTGCGAGGGGAAGGGCGCAGGATTCCAGGCCGAGGGGTGCGTGGTGCCGTGTGCGAGGGGAGGGGCGCAGGGTGCCAGGGCGAGGGGTGCTCGGTGCCGTGTGCGAGGGGAAGGGCGCAGGATTCCAGGCCGAGGGGTGCGTGGTGCCGTGTGCGAGGGGAGGGGCGCAGGGTGCCAGGGCGAGGGGTGCTCGGTGCCGTGTGCGAGGGGAAGGGCGCAGGATTCCAGGCCGAGGGGTGCGTGGTGCCGTGTGCGAGGGGAGGGGCGCAGGGTGCCAGGGCGAGGGGTGCTCGGTGCCGTGTGCGAGGGGAAGGGCGCAGGATTCCAGGCCGAGGGGTGCGTGGTGCCGTGTGCGAGGGGAGGGGCGCAGGGTGCCAGGGCGAGGGGTGCTCGGTGCCGTGTGCGAGGGGAACCCCTCGTACAGGAAGCCGTCCCAGACGCGCAGGAGGATGTCGCTGGCCAGGCTGTCGACGAAGGCCACCAGGAACCAGTTGAAGGTGATCAGCGAGACGTCAATGCGGTGCCGCTCCAGGTGAGCCGCCAGCCTGGGCAGCTTTTCCCACAGGAAGTCTTTGAAGACCCTTTGATCCACCTGGGATTGAGAAGCAGGAGGCCGTGAGCCAGGGCAGGTGCGTGGATGGCCGGGCTCTGCCTCCTCCCTCGTGAGCTGCGCCTGGTGAGCCGCCAGCCTGGGCAGCTTTTCCCACAGGAAGTCTTTGAAGACCCTTTGATCCACCTGGGATTGAGAAGCAGGAGGCCGTGAGCCAGGGCAGGTGCGTGGATGGCCGGGCTCTGCCTCCTCCCTCGTGAGCTGCGGGGCAGGCTGGCCTGGGAGGGCAGTGCTGTGCTGGGGCAGCGCCGTGCTCCACAGGCCGGCAGCCCGAGGGCCATGTAGGGTAGCCCGAGGCCCTGCCTGGCGTGAGCAGGGCAGGCCGAGTTTGTACCCCCCCCGGCACACTCGTTCCCAGAGGGCTGAAGAGCTGCCAGCACGGGGCCCCCAGCATGGCCTGGCAGCGCCGGTTCCTGCACCCTCCTGCTGGGCGTACCTGACACTCCCCGAAAGACCCACCCAGCCCCGTCTGCGGCCACAGCTTCCCTGCTGGGCCACCCCGGCCCAAGCTGCTGAGTCTCAGGGCTGGCTGCATGTGGATCCTTCTCCCGGGCCCTGGCGGCGGCTGCGTGCGGGCTGCAGGGTCTCTGCCACTGCCCTGCTGGGACTGCCAAGAGCTCTTCAGGCAGCACCGAGCACAGCTGAGCCCGGGCAGCCCGACGGCGGAGGCGGCAGAGGGTCTGAATCTGATAAACACGCCAAGAACACAACACACGCCAATCCTGGGACTCAACCAGGGCTACTCGACACGTGGCCCGTGGCCCATTGTTTGTGGCCCGCGGTGCAGTTTGGATTGACACGGGGCTCAACACGCAGCCCGAGGGCGGGAGCCAGAACTAAAAGGCGTCAATGGGATGGTCCTCTGCTGAGATGCGCTTTAGTCGTTACATTGCTCAGTCCAAGTGCTGTCACAGGGTAGAAATCGGGTCAATGTTGCATTTGATTAGTACCAGCAGAACTGACTGAAATGGGCCTGTGTGTTGTGTAGTCTTGTCTTAATCTTTGTATTCATGCCCGTCGGTGTGCAATAAGATATTTGCATATATTTGCATATATTTGCATGTCCATGCAACCACTCTTAAGGTGCGGCCCTCGGCATGTGCTGTGAGTATCATCATGGCCCCCGGGGCTTCCAGAGTTGAGTAGCCCTGCTCTGAACACACAGGCTGACCCAATGAACGCCAACACTGCCATCCTCAGTCCAGAGCAGCCACTACGGATGTAAATGCCTCTGATCTCTGCC